ACAGAATTATTCAACGAACTTTACTACGTTTATTGTAACTGTAAATATATAACTGATTGATAAAAACCTATATGAAGAATTAAAGTAGGGTATTACATAGAGTAATATTAGTATAAATTGTATACAGGATTTTCACGGTATGGTTAAAAAAAATTTTACAAGACAAAATCAGGACTGTACAAAACAATGTGAGTAATTTATGACATGCTATTTGCATAAGATTAAATATCAAAAACTAATAGATACTAATAGATACTAGTTAACTAGAAAAATAAAAGTTTTTAAAGTTTAAAATACAAAAACTACATATTTTTACATTGAATTGTTTTGTAAATAATAAGCGAAAATTGCAATACTTTTGAACAAACAGTATATCAATTAGTTCCCCGTTGGGAAATGGTATATGACTTTGACTTTAATGAGAATAAAATCGGTTACTCACTCATTTCACTGATTTATTCCGAGGTTTGTACCACTGTTGTGTATCACCTAACAGCCAATGAACATCATGTCATCTTTCACTTGAACTTCATTCAAGCGCCATAAAAATAATACAAACTAAATACATAATTAGTCATTATTCTAACAAGGAAATAAACTACAACAAAACTATGTAAATCATGTACTTCAACTGTGCACTAGCAAGACATCATTAAAATTCGGCATACAATGTTTTCGGGTTAGTTTTCTTTGTTGATGCACATTTTATGTAGGACAACATTTGGAGCGAATGGGTTGGTGACAAATGAACAATGGACATGCCACTAGACATGTAAAAGTGCATTATCTATACAGTAATCATTGTAACCACAACCAGTCAAGGATTTTTATGTAAATGTTATAAGATACTGAGCTGCTGCTCAAACCTAGGTCTGTATTAGGTATTGTTCACGGGACAAAGCCCCAAAGAAATGGGCATGTGGGCTATTTTAAGCCGGCATGTATTAGATATGAATGAATGAATGAATGAATAAATTATGAATTTATTCCACCACATATATAAAAATTACACAACCAGATGTACAAAAAGAAAAAAGTTCTTTATGCAAAACTAAACTAACTAACTATAACTAATTAACTATATACATGCGTAAAAGGTTGTTCCTATCTAATTAGTTCTGGAATTAGCAGACATAGGCTGTGCCTGTGCGTCTGCTAAGTTGCTATAAAGATTATGAAGTTAAAGTGGCGCAATTTAGTTTTATTATTTTGTATGAGTGAAAAATAAAATTAAATGAAAAGTAAAATTAAATGAAAAATTAAATGAATTTCAGCAGTTAAGTAATACTGACTGAGTTCCGATAAAGTTTTATGTTACCTATCTGTTCGAGGCTTTAAGATAAGTACAAACGTGTAAACCTACGTTTATTCGAACGAGTTCACGAACCAGCATAATCGGACCATGGGAACGGGGGTTTATGGGGGTTTTATGTGGTAAAAATGGGGTTTTCCAAGATTTTGCAATTTCTTTTCAAACCGTTTTGTAGAGCTTAAAAAAATAAATAATTTAGTATATTGAAGCGCTGTTGTACGCCTAACGGTCATGGAGAAAATTAAAAAATAGTGTAATTTAAAATTCTCATGTTATTCTTATGGAGAAAATGAAAACTGTTGTAGTTAACTTGTTTATGGATATATATTGATAAAATTTAGCAAATTTATTTATTTCATCCTATAGTATTTACGTACGGTCAAAAAAACACTTTTTACCTTCCCCGTAGCAGCAAACCTAAGCACTCGTTAAATCTAATGTTATTTAAATTGGGAATACATTTTATGTCTTATTTATGGAAATATTTTAGTAAAAATGTATCAGACATGTTGAAATTCGCTTAGTCTGCAGGTTTGCTGCGGCGGGGGTATTTTTACTACTGCACTTTTTGTGAAGAAATTCCTTTTTTAATAAAGTGATTTAAAGCAGTTTTTTTTCAAATAATATTTTTCCACCTGAATTTTATTAAATTACAATCGTATTCTAAGTAAATAAATGGAGACCTCCAACTGAGCTTTATATTGCTTGTCTCAGGCAACATCCTGAAAACTCTTTTAAAAATATTCTACATTATTACCTTGAATTAAATTCTTAATATCACAACGAAGAATATTAAATGAATTATTCACGCATTTTTACGTAGTATTTTATAGCCAAATTGTTTCATTTATAGTTTTATGAACGGAATTTTTTGAGACGTTTCATTTACATGTACTGTATATTTAACATCAGTACACTTTACCATAAGGAAGTCAGACTATCAAGATTACACTTGAATCTTTTGAAATATATTAAATCTTTTTTAACATGTTATATTTTAGAACACAATTATAACATGCAATATTTAACCATTGATAGCATAAGTATACTTGTTGTATTCGGCCTACACTCCTTGCCTTAGTCATACACATTTTAGCTACCTGTACATGCAGTAATGTAATTACACATATTTCAACTGTGATTTATATCAATATTATTACTACAAAATAGGACACAATTCACTTAATCCGTAAGCTACTGGGAAAAATAAATTTCCCTCGTGCGTTGATCAAGAAAGTACCTAGACAAGTGCACCGTTTTCAAAAATATTGGACGCTAAGAGGTCATAAATAAGTCGCACGAGTATCAATAATTTGACGAAGGGTCGGCAAGGGACCAGGCGATATTAGAGTGCGTAAACATGTTGGAAATGAAGGAGGGGGGTTGGAGAAGGGTGGTGATAGGGGAATGGTGGAGAGAACACCTCATAGTGGTGGACTCCTCAGTTTATACAGGCTAAATTGTATACTTAAGCAGATTTACAGGCTACATTATACCAGGGATTACAACAATAAGAATTCGGTGTTGCCTACTGATTTTTTTTCAGCATTGCTAAACTGGTACTGCCTTTATGGATCAGTTTCTAATTATTACTCTAAATTACTGATTTATCCGTTCTCTGTAGGGTTTATTGAGAAACAGATACCTTTAAAACTACTTAAAAAAACTTATTTGTAATAATATTTTTCAGAGGCCCAAATGCTTTCATAAGATCAAACCAATTTCATTTAATGGCAAATTGACATCTGGAGCCAGAATCACAATCGACCCGACGTCTGAAGGCGACTTTATAAGAGAGTGTTTTTTATATATTTCGTATCGCAACTTGGTCACTGCCGCAAACATTTTATCAGTTACCTTCGTCCTGTATCGGCTCACTCCTTGCTTTGCTAGATACGTTCCATCCCACAGATCTGTAGTCTATGTGGATCAAATAGTGGACGGGCAAATGCAAGGTTATAAGAGGCTGCCAACCTCTTAAGAAACAAACTTCTTTGAAACTAAATAAAAATATCAACTTTTGTGTAAGCATCAAAAACAGTGTAGCTTAGGCCTACAACTACGTCAATAAATTCACCACTTGAGAATGGTCACAGTAAGTCGTAAATTAATCCAAGTATGAGGGTGGAAAAGAGATTCTTTGAGTGGATTTCATACTGACTGAGATTCGCCGTTTCAAATTTATCAAACTACTAATAATAAGAGACAGCTGGGTCCAGTTTCGAAAAAACAGTGTAGCTTAGGCCTACAACTACGTCAATAAATTCACCACTTGAAAATGGTCACAGTAAGTCGTAAATTAATCCAAGTATAAGGGTGGAAAAGAGATTCTTTGAGTGGATTTCATACTGACTGAGATTCGCCGTTTCAAATTTATCAAACTACTAATAATAAGAGACAGCTGGGTCCAGTTTCGAAATATCAAAAAGCTACTCGTACCAGCGGCCTTCTGACTACTAAGCAAGCACTATAACCAATCATCTTTTGTATTATAGTTATACCATGAAGCCAATTAGGTAGTATACTTTAATTTAGGAAGAATCTAATTTAAGCTGGTAGTAGAAGTGAGATAAATTAAAAGACTAAGTAGGGCAAAAACATATATATTTTATGGTTCTCAAATTTCACAAAATACACTTTCCCAATAAAATCAATTATGGTCTTATTACTTCCAAATCTTGTACTAAATAATAAAATAGTGGAAAGATCTTACTTTAATCAGAGACACTGGTTTAATGGTCAGAACAGGCACTAGCAGATACCATGCAATGCAACTAGAAGTGGTACAAAAGCTACTGAACCAATCATAAGAAGAAGATGATGATGATGATATCTGTCTGAAAACATCACACAAACCCAATAAAAACTATTCTCTACAAATTCTAATAATTAAAGGTGGATTTAAGATCCTTACAACGCCTTGTGAAAATGTGCTTCTCCTAGAACAAAACTCGACAGGTCTGTATGAACTATACATGTTTTCTTTTCTTGTAAAATGCATTAAAATTCATTTGAAAACTATTCTTTACTTTACATCTTTTTCCAAAAATGATTTCTACAAATGCTATATACGATAAATCTCCTAAAATCTATTTTTTTTTACAATATTAAAATCTACTTACAATTTCTACAGCAACCACATTTTAGTAGACCATTCTTTCCAGTGAACTTAACTGACAAACTTGAATTCTGTTATCAATGACCACTACCAACCCTACAAAACTAAATCTTTTAAATCCTTGGACACTCTTTCTTAAGTTATTCTAGCCAATGATTATATAATATTAATTTTGTTTTGTTATTTCAATTAAAACTAATTTCCATCGGTACATAGTGTAATATTTGTTTATAATGAACATGTATGAATAAGAATCCAACAAAGCAGTTGAGACTGAAGGTTTTCCGTAAAAAGAGTCGATCTGTTGGTTCATTGTTAATCCTCATGTGCGTATCTTACGTTTGCCAACCTCTAGTGTTGTAAATTGTCCAGAAATATTCCTAAAATAAACATTTACAGTCTAAAATGTTCATGTAGATTTTGAAACTTTCGTCTTTAAAAGTCTCAGCGAATTTTGCACTCTTTGGGTCTTATGTGTAATCAAGCTAAACATGCAATTAATTGGCTTATTGATGTACAATTTTAATAAACTGTAAAAATTATTTAAGTTATAATTTACCTGGTTTACAGATGCTCAAGTCGTGTAGACAGCTGTCCATGACAGTGCGGAGTCCTCACCCCCCGCCACCGCCGGCTCCTGGAGGGAGTTCCCCCTGGATGGTCCGACAGACCTACTCCTGGATAGACCGTCAGGGACGTCCCGTGTCGCCGCCCCCGGAGTACGCCCGTGCCTCGCCCCCTGTCCTGGTAGCGCCGCCGCCCCCACCTCCACGGTGGAACTACTCCAGGAACATCAAGGATAGACCCATCCGGAAGGTGGGTTTTGGTGAAGCAGAAGGGGTTGGACCTCTTTAAGTGTTTGGTGTTTGCGGGGGTGTTTGATGAGTCACAAGTTTTTACGTTGATTTTGGCATATTTAGTTATACCGTTATACTGTGAAAAATTTCGAGATACGTTTAATATGGTTAACGATGTTAGACCAGCTTTTAAGGACATGATACTTCTAACTCTATAATGAAAGCTAGAAACCATTAGGCTGTTGTGTGTGACAGCATCAACATTTTTGTGAATTTACCCTATAGGAAAGAAGCCAATGCTGAAGTTGACATAGAATGGCCTACCCTGGTGTCTGTTTAATAAGATGTAGTGTATTTGTTTTTCCCAGTGGAAATATACAATTTGCGCGTATAGAAATATTTTGTAGAGCTAAAAGGGTAAGGCCTCGATCGGGTAGTGGTGTAAATGGGAGGTTGGGGTTCCCCCCGTCAGCGTGCTGACGGTCCCCTTCCTTCTGGCTATGATGGCGGGTTCTGCCTGTCAGGGATTAGATAGGTCCCGAGTGTTGCTTGCACTAAATGCGTCGGGGCGCTCCATTATGGTCCTCTAGGGCTCGTACCTGGTGGAACCCAGGTGGAGTGACGCTTAAACAAGCAGCCGGAATCCCTGGTTAGGGTTGAGGGGCAACCCTCTTTCCGAAGGGTCTGCTTCGGCAGCCGGCGAGCCTGATGACCTTAAGTCATCCGCCCATGATGTGCTAAAGGTTGATGCGTAAGCTTCGGCCTACATCATGGGGCCCGGGTATGTCCTCAAGGATAGGTACCGGGTACGCAGTCAGGGGGCTTCGGCTCTCATGACAAAGAAATAATAATAATAATAATAAGAGCTTCAGAAACCAATTATTTTGTACATTTAAGCGTTGTGGTGGATTAAAATGCTAGTTCGACAATTCCAAAGTATTTTGGATATATTTTTATCATATTAATACTTTTGTCATTTTATGCGAAACTATTTACTTAAAAAAAAACTTTTCGATTCCCTTTTCTCATGAAAAATTTGCAGCCTACTAAAAACCTAGATTCAAGAAATATATGTTACGTGTATATTTTCAAATCAGACATATGAACATTGTATTAGTCTGCAGGTTTTCTATAACGGGAGTATTATTTGTGATTAGTTTTGCTTAGATATTGAAGAAGCTGCGATACGAAACAGTTTTAACTCATCAAATGAATTAGTAGAACCGTTTTCCACGAAAAAGGCGCATTTACAAATCAATACTGCATATTTCAGCAAATTTCAGGTAGGTAAATTTTAGGAGGTGTATTGTTGTCAAATTTAATTAAAAAGGGATATTCCATTTTAAGTACCCTCGAAAAGCTAGCTTAACAATTTGTGAACTGAAAATCCAGTTTCGGGTTTTTCATTTTTAACTTTTTGCTTTTTAAGCTAGCTTGAATATATTAAGAAGACGAAAATGGTACATTTTAACCATAATTATTGGTCAATTTTGAGATATTAAAAATCATATATTTTGGCCCAAGAGAGTATGTTTCCATTGGGTATATCCAACACAGGAAAATTAGTTTGTCGTATAACGAAAAATGTTTGTCTTCCGATTTGCAAGCAATTTCGTGAGAACCTTTGTTAATGTTAACACATGTGTTCCTTATGCACAAGACCCACTTAGTCCTTCCGAAATCACCCACTTAGTCTTCCAAAGTTTGCATTCTATTCATTCAAGTCAACGTTTTATTTGAAAACTCGTTTCTTACATTTAAAAGTATACGAATACATATTTTACGTGATTAATTATAACGTTTCATATTCAAGCTCACGTGTCTTCAAAGATAAAATGTATCCAAAATAAAGCATTAATACAAATATAGGGATGTGTACCTGTGGGAATATGTAATGATTACTAGGAAATGTAACGTTTATAACCTGCGAAGTCTCTGAGTTTTAATTTTTCATTCACATATCCAATCAGACGCATTTTCCAATCAATTACTACGCGGTGTTGTAGAATAATAATATGGAGTAAGAAAGTAGTGTGTTAAAAATTTGGAATTAGGTCAATAGAGTGATGTACACCCTATGCACTCCAAAGAGTCATTATGATAAAAACACCTTAAAAACACATCAAAAACCGTTGACTGGGTTGTAACAGGAAGATTATGTATCTATTGGGAACCTTAGAAAAAGCTATTGTCATATACTTTGATCTCGAGGGCCTAGTGCAACATGATGCCAACACATGGCAGCCAATTTGCCCAAGGTTCAAGATGTTATTCTACTTAAGGGGTTTATTGGCTCAATATTTTGTTAAGATTCAAGCCCTCGTGAGAAGAGCAATCACCATAGATAGACGTGCCCTACACTAAATTGCTCTTCACGTCAAGGGCCCGTCTCTTTTGTGGCTCGGCAAGCTGATATTGTTTATGATATAACGTGTCTTATACCTATAAAGTGTCTTATGCTTCGATTTAGTAGTAAAGATGGCTAAGCTCTTATCGATGTCTAGTTTTTTTTAACTTTTAAAAAGGCCTACTGTATCAACTTTTTATATAAAAGATAGTATCTTAAAATCATTTATATTCTGTGCTGAGTGTCAACTTATACTATAAAGTGCAACAGGGGAACTAAGAAAGGTTTTACAGAAATTAAAATAATAGTCCTTAAATAAACTCTAGGGGATGTATTTATCTATGTTTTAGCGAATTTCCCTATAGGGAATAAGCTATTACCGTAGGTCTCATGGTAAGACTTAGTCCCGGGACCGATTTACTTTTTCATTTTGATGTCCCTAGAAGCCAAAAACACCATCCGTATATGTGTCCGTCAGCACGATAACTCGAGAAAAAATGATCCGATTTTGATGAAATTTGGTTTAAAGGTGTAAAATGGGATAAACTTGAATGAGTTCGCGAACCAGCATGATCAGACCATGGGAACAGGGTTTTACGGGGGGTTTTATGGGGGGGGGGGGGAAATTGGTTTTTCTCACTTTTTACCCTTAAAACACAAAATTTCCCAATTTCCCTTTAGACCTTTTTAAAGAGCTTAAAAAACAAATAATTTAGTACATAAAAGTATTATTGTTCGGTTATTGGTAACGGAGAAAATTAAAAAAAATTGTAAACTTAAAATTCCCATGTTATTCTTAAGGAGAATATTGTAAAATGTTGTACCCTAGTTTGCTTGTTTATGGATATATTTTGATCTAACTTGGCAAATTTATTTATTTTATACTAAGCTATCAATGTTTTACTAAAAACACACTTTATTAGTTTCCTTGTAGCAGCAAACCTAGGTACTCGTTAAACCTAATGCTATTTAAATATATTTAATTGAAAATCAATTCAGACAAATGGAAATTCGCTTAGTCGGCAAGTTTGCTGCGGCGGGGGTATTTTTAACGATACTGCATGAATACTAGAAAAATACCGGTATGGATCATAAACATAAACAAATGACGTTGTTGGCCCGAATCCTATACTAATAGCATTGAACATATGTTTTGGCAGTTTCATTTAAGCAATGTTAAATAATGTTTATTTTCGGGCCAAAAACGTCATTTGTTTACTGTATGTTTATGATCCATACCGGTATTTTTCTAGTAATCGTGCGATACTGTCAAGGCTAGTTTTCTGGAATTATATATTTGGCATTCTTTGGCATTGTCATCAACCTTTTAAATTATCAATCTCTTCGGTTGGATTTTGAGAAGTGAAAAAAAAACAAATAAGACAAAATGAAAAATAGTAAAAGCAATTTTATTTTAAAAGTGTACCTTTTCAAACAAAATGAATGTAACGTAAAGCCCATTGCAATATTTATGTAATTTGTAAATTATGGTCTTAACTCTCACACTCGAAAAAGTTTAAGGTTCTAAGGTTTTCACTAAATAACTAAAATATTCCATTTGGCATTTATAATCAGCGTCGTAATTTCATTAAATTTTATGCCTAATCTTAATTCATTATAAGTTGTTTGTACCAATTTAAAAAAATTATAAAAATATATTTAATTGTTAACAGTCAAAATTTAATATTTAACTATTTTATTACAGAAATAAAAATATTATAAACAATAATTATGAAGGACTAAAATAAAATTTTTCCTTTGTTACTGTTTCCAATCGCTAAAATACAAATAAAAAATGTTTGTCACAAATTAAAACTTTTGAAAGACTTCTTACGTTCTTGAAATGAACGTTTATGTTTCTACGGGTAGTAAGTAGTTTAAGGAATCTGAACATTGGTTTTCAATATGAATTAATTTAAATTAGCATATAAAAGTATTTACATTTATTTGAATAATTACATGTATATTATTATAATAATTATAATATAAACATCTCAATACATCTCAATATAGTATGACGTTTTGGATATAATTATTTAGGAGTACAGAACGCTCGACAGCCTAGACATGTCCTGCTAGGGTGACAAGTTTATGACCATGTATGTGTGCAGACATGTCAATATGGCGGATTTGAGGGGGGGGGTGCGCAAGGGGCTGATGAAGGATGTAAGGAAGGGGGGGGAGTGTAAATCTAATCACTCAAATCACCTCTGAGTAGGCTACATGTCTGTCTTTCTAATTGCTTTTTAAGACAGCTCCGTCAGGTTGGGTTTAGTTTCATTATGACACAGTTTATATCTGTATTTTTTAAAGATTATCATAAATATCCTTATTTTAGTAATTCGTGTTGGACCTGGAAATTTATATTGCGTGCTGCAGTTTTTTTAAATTATTAACGTGTTTGGGCAGAACAGTAATAATAAAAAAAATTTGTTGTAGTTGATATATGATAGGTAACTTATTTCATTGTGTAAGTAATTTAAATAAATCAACAAATAAATATTCAGCAAAATATTTGACACATTATTTTAATGCGTCTATTTACCGAAGATAAATACACCATTAGCTGTCATATAAGGACAAATATTATTATCATTTGTAAATAGAATAAGCCTTAAGCACAAGAAAATATACGAATAGTAGTTAATTGATTAGTCCTGTTTAAAATTCTAAAATATGAACTTTTCTACCGAACAGAAGTTTTCACAACTTCTGGTATAAGTTTTTTTTTTCTTTTATATCTTACTGTGAAGAACTAACATTATGCATATCCAAAGGACATTTTACATTCCGAATATACAGTGTAGTGTTTAAAATAAGATCACTGGTTGCCACTTCTAAAATTAGATTTAGATCTTGAGGGAGAAAGATTTTGGTGTCAGTTAGCCATGTTTTGTTTTTTTCATTATGAACAACCTTTTACCCTAACCTACAACTAACTTTTACAACTAACCTTTTAAACAACAGATGTGAATTGGGTTATTGCAAGAGGCGGGTTTGACTTGGATCCTTGTCCCAAAGAATACCACCTACCTCTAAACTTGACTTATAAAAATGAAATGAATACACTTTTTAATATATTGCATTTGTTCCTTTTCAACGATTCATTTTATTAGGGTGAGTTTAGAAAACGTTGTAAGTGATTTAGTGGGGGGGGGATTAAGTTCTGGAACTAATATGAATGTTTACTGCATGTGATGGATACCAATATATTACCCAGGATTGAGTTGTTACTACACCAGATTGTGTTTAGTCGCCATGTATCATCTAGTAGTACACAGTACCTCCGCTTTACACAGTATGCTAGTTATTGATATGTTCCTAAGTTTCCTGTTCAGTTCCTGAACCCTAAAGGAAAACTTCTAAACAGTTTAATCCCGACTAGGCCTGGGAAGGGATCCATTGAGTGAAACATTTACTTCTGCATGTATCATTGTACGAATGTTGTAAGTTGGAAAGGAAACGAATAAAAAACTGGAAAAGTTTTGTAAACATCAAAAGAGACTGATCAAAAATTCTGACGAGGGCCTATACAATGATGATCTGAAAGAAGGATCACATACTTTTGTCGCTGTAAAATTGCCAACGCAGATATCAGGATGGTCAAAAGATTTCTGTATCCAACCACTAGGAGCTCAATGGTTTTAGTTTGAATCACGTGGTACTCTCAGTCACTAGAAAGGAACGTAAAAGTATCAACTTTGATGGGAGACTAAGTATTCGGTGATTTCTAAAATTGTATGTTACAATTCATACACTCGGTTACCGATAGTTTCAAAAAGTCCGTGGCAGCTGATATGGATGGGAGATTAACTTTTAGACTGTCCACCCATCAAAGTAATAATTAGTTAAGCACCAGCCGGAGCTAATATTTTTGGCACTCTGTATATAATTTTGCATCTTCCTAACTAACTACTCTTTATGTACTTGTTTGGCAGGTGGAGCTCAGTATAGAGCCTGGTCAAAGCCTGGGTCTGATGATAAGAGGAGGAGTTGAGTACAATCTCGGTATCTTCATAACTAACTACTCTTTGTGTACTGTTTGTTTGGCAGGTGGAGCTCAGTATAGAGCCTGGTCAAAGCCTGGGTCTGATGATAAGAGGAGGAGTTGAGTACAATCTCGGTATCTTCATAACTAACTACTCTTTGTGTACTGTTTGTTTGGCAGGTGGAGCTCAGTATAGAGCCTGGTCAAAGCCTGGGTCTGATGATAAGAGGAGGAGTAGAGTACAATCTCGGTATCTTCATAACTAACTACTCTTTGTGTACTGTTTGTTTGGCAGGTGGAGCTCAGTATAGAGCCTGGTCAAAGCCTGGGTCTGATGATAAGAGGAGGAGTAGAGTACAATCTCGGTATCTTCATAACTAACTACTCTTTGTGTACTGTCTGTTTGGCAGGTGGAGCTCAGTATAGAGCCTGGTCAAAGCCTGGGTCTGATGATAAGAGGAGGAGTGGAGTACAATCTCGGTATCTTCATCACGGGGGTTGATAAGGATTCCGTTGCTGATCGAGCTGGACTCATGGCAAGTACTTATATTAAATACTCTTAAAATATGACATACAGCTGTTGTATACCAAACAAATCATTGAAATTATGCCGCTATCAAATATTTATTTACATCACTATATCCTATGACCTGAATTTATTTGTCACACACTGCGACGTGAGTTTTTTTAGCAATTATGTGCCAACGTGTGTTTGTGATGAATTTCCCTTTCAAAGAATCGTACAGTACGTGAAGATGTGGCAATGGCCACGAAACATATAAGACGTAACTGCAACGTTATAAGTTAAAGTTGCTGTCAATGTATGTTTAACCGTAATATAAACCAATTTCCAGAAGTAAAAGAAATAGGTCTGATTGTGATTTAACACCCAACTGAACTGTTAGATTAAAAATTCAAGTGTTTTTTAGTGTTGTAAGGTACTTTTTAAATAAATCAAAGGCTCAGTCTACCCTCCCCCCTAACTTTAACGAACATTACCCATTTAGTCCATTCGCCCCTGCGTAAGGTCATAACATTTAAATTTACACCTCAATCGTAAAAATTGGTTTAGTAGTTCGGATGAGGGTGTAACAGAGATAACTCTTATCGTATTAATTTTAAAGATAAACTATGCATAATTGTGTGATAGCTAGTAAGTCTCTAATAAGGTATTTAAGGGTCCTTAAAAAACAAAAACAAAATTCCATTCACTGCTTTTTTTTTACAAAACATAGAAATGCGCCTGGTAGTGCCCAGTGTGATTGCCGTAGTAACATATTTTATATGTTTACCATATTGTATTTTTTTCAGTTTAAAAGTGTATTTTATTTACAAATTTTATAAAGAAATGCTGGGAGACATATTTGATAACGATGTAATAATAGCAACAACAAGTAAACTGATAGTAAATAAGTTCTTTCCAATTAATATGCCAAACTTCAAAACTAAGTTGTACGTATTTAACATTGAGCCATTTTCCTGCAATTTATGTTATTCTATTTACATACCCTGAGGAAATGTTATATACATTATTGATGGATAGAGGCACAAACCACATATTTTGGATTTTGTTTCACAATGTGCGTTCCAAACAGCAATACCTACTGCACTTGACAGCCAATTTCAGTAGTCATATGTTTGTTGTCTTCTCACAAACTAAACGTTCTTATGTCTTGACAATGTGGGATTTCAGAGACAAGTAATATTAAAATAGCGCGACCCGGGTGTAGGATATATCATACTTATGTGTTGACAAAGACCGAGTGATATTGGAGAGCGTCGCAAGATGTGACATAACATTTTGTTTGTTCTGTCTCTTTATTGCTTTTTAAAAATATGTTGCAACTAACTTTCCAGCAGGATAAAGATAATAATGTTGCTATTCACTTGAAGGACAACACATTTTCCCTGTGGATAGTTGTTTTATGATTTTTAATTAACGATTTTTATATTTAACACAAATTGTAATATGCATATTTCGTTTTGTGTTATATGATGATGTTATGTGATGCTTAATGATTTCGATTAATAGTTGGGATCCAGAAACTTGGCCCGTGTTTGATGACAAAAAAATGTATCTAAAGAAAATAACCCAGATGTTTGAATCGTATAAATAGGCAAGCGTGTTTCTGGAAAACCTTTTTTCTTAGCTCGTGTGCATCGCAGGTAAAAATCTACGCATACTGTTAGAAAGATAGAACCCTGTGGAAGTGCAGAATCCATTTGTAAATTAAAATAGGATAAAAAATAAACATAAATACCCCCGCCGCAGCAAACCTGCAGACTAAGCGAATTTCCATTTGATTTACACTGAAATGTCTACTTAAAAATATAACATTTATTCCCGATTTAAATAGAATTAGTTTAACAAGTACTTAGGTTTGCTGCATCAGGGAGGTAAAACAGTTTTTTTTATGTTAATAGTTAGTAAGAAATAAAAACATTTTTCAAATTTGATCAAAATATGTTCATAAACAAGCAAACTACAACAGTTTACTTATTCTCCATAAGAATAACATGGGAATTTTAAATTTAAATTTTTTTGGAATTTTCTCCGTAACCATTAGGCGCATAATAACGCTTCAATATACTAAATTATTTGTTTTTTAAGCTCTACAAAATGGTTTGGACAGAAATTGCTAAATTTTATGTTTTTTGGGTCAAAAATGCGAAAAACCTATTTTTACCCCATAAAACCCCCCGTAAACCCCCGTTCCCATGGTCCGATCATGCTGGATCGCGAACTCGTTCGAATAAACGTAGGTTTACACGTTTGTACCGAATTTCATCAAAATCGGGTCATTTTTGCTCGAGTTATCGTGCTAACGGACACATATATATATATATATATATATATATATATATATATATATATATATATATATATATATATATATATATATATATATATATGAATTTGAACGGATGGTGTTTTTGGTCTCTAGGGACCTCGAAACGAAAAAAAAATCGGTCCCGCGTCCAGGTCTTACCATGAGTACTACGGTAATAGCTTATTCCCTATATGGGAAATTCGCTAAAATGAATTTAAAATTAAACAAAATTAATATGGGTCTTATGGGTTGCCATGATGGTGACGAAATAACAACAAAATATAAACAGAAAATAAAATAAAAAACATGGAGAAATTCCAATTACGTCATGTTTTATTTAAAGCGTGGGGTGAAAATAGAGAAGTCTGTACAATACATATGTTTAGTCAAGTTTTCGACCACTGGACAACCTCTTGTATACTTTAGTAGTTAATTATTAAGTTATAATAAATACATCAAATTTAGATATAGCACCACTTCTTCTCACAATCTCATTTTAAATCTTTAAATCTGTATTTATATGTCAATACTGTATAAACTACTGTGTAAGGATTAGCTCCATTACATTTGTAAAAATTGTCCCCATTCTATAATGATTCGAGCGAGATACCTCTAGTTCCCACCGATTTTCTTTTATACTCAAGGATTTTAAACTGAGGTGTCATTTAATGGGGATTTCATTTAAAATTTTGAGCTGTCCCCGAAATAACCCATTTTGGGCTTTCGGACAGTTTTGCGATTTTGGTGGACATATTAGTTTAGGTTGCGTTCTGTAGGTGAATGTGTAAGCTTTATTTATACTTTTAACCTTGATCACTCTAAGTGTTTGGTAGTTGAAAATCGTAAACAAAAGAACCATAAAAAAAATTAAGATATAACTAGCTGTTGTACTCGGCTTCTACACAGTGTAGAAGAACGTAGTCTCCTTAATACAATAACAAATCTTAGTAGTATAACGATTTTATAAATTTTTGTCCTATGTTACGGATGGGTTTACATATAGTAAAAGTGAATTAGTAATCCATTTCAAACCTTTACTTAATTTGCAAATTGCGATGGACTTTAAAAACTACTCTTTGACTTGGAATCAAAATTAATCCACTTAGTCCACTCGATGAATCGGCATTGACAAAAAAGAATGTAGTTGTTGTTTAAAATTTAGATTTTTGTATAAAAACTACATCAATCGCATTTCTCAAAATGTGTAACTTGTTATGCACATAGATCACTAGAGTATTTTAATTGTATCTTACATATTGAATTTATGTTTGCATGTATTTTGCAAAACTAAAAAAGCCTGTGTGACTACATGATATATGGAACCTTAGGCTGACTCACTGGGGACGGCTAACACCACTCCGGGGACTCATACGTTTTTGCGACTTAGTTGTCAGTACTGAGGGCAAGAAAAAATATTCTCTTGGAAAACTAAAGATAAGTGTGGATTCAAATAGGTAAATCTATTTGTTTATCATCCATACCATCTATTTGTTTATACCTATTATTGTTTATAAAATGTGTATATAAAGAATGACTAAACTACTTCCAAACTTTGAGCGTAAATAAATGCATTGATCTGGAGTGGCTGTACAATTTAAACAATTGTATTTTATTAGATTTCGAAACCTCTCAAACATCCAAACATTATTTACTGAACCTGGTCTTTACAGTGAATTTTAAAACGTCTTGACAAAGCATGCTTATTTGAGTAAAACTGAACTGGTGTAGGATGGCTGATTTTGTGGGAGCTAGATTGTTTAATGACATTGTACAGTACTCTGTAATAACAAAAAAACGCTATTTGCATAAAGAACTGACGTATAAGTTTTGTCCTATTCCATCCTAGTCATAGTCCTCAAAATATCGTGCTGAATCGCATGAAAAGAAACATTTTACTGTACAATGAAACTCTTTATTGGTTCGATTATAGGTACATTTGAAAATTTTATTATCAGTATTTGAGTGCACTACATTAAAACCTTTACCTAAGACCGTTCTATAAAGTAGCCGTTTCAGATTAGTTCTTGAAGAATTGAAAAGTTTCACATAACAGCATTGTTTACTTTCATAACAGAATTGTTTACTTTCATAACAGCATTGTTTACTTACATAACAGCATAGTTTTACTCATAACTACATAACAACATGGGTAACAGACCAATGAGGTTCAAGGATTGAGAGAGTAGAAGTAAAATTGTAATGATTCGAACTTTAACTAATCAGCTGTTCAGGCCAATTTAATTGTTGAGTGGTTTCGTTGCTTTACTGTCAGTGGCAATAAGAGGTTATAAACGAAAACATAACATCTCTTAAAAGTTATGAGTAGTGATTTTTGGTAATTAAAACACTGTCGTAGGTAAAGTAGTGTACGCAACTTGCGTAAATAGTGTTAACGACACGAGTAGAAAATTTAAGGTAAGAACCTTAAACTTCTAAATCTCTACTATTCAAATATATAACCTAAACATTTTCGTGCATCCATTTCATAGTACAGTATTTGTAATTTAAGGAAATATTGGAGTAAAAACCCAATCAAGCAAATAGAAATTAGCTCTGTCTGCTCTTGTGCTAGGGGGTATTTATAACATATTTTAGTCACTATTTTGAATGTTTTTAATGAAAAATTTAATCTGTTGGAAATCATAAATAGGTACGATATATATTGTTAACCTCCCAAACAACGACGAGATTTTCGGCACCCTTGT